GATGTCTGTGAGAGAATGTATGATTAGGGCTGCACAATTGGGCCAACAAAAATCATATCACAATTATTGTGTAAACTCTAATTTCTGAAATCTAATTTGTTAAACATCTCATAGTGCTGATGTCTAGTCATTAAAAAAAAAAGAACACAAAGACAAAATCACACAGAAATAAGCAAAACCTACAATCTAAAAGGGAATGCCTTTTGTTTCCAAATCAATGTTTGCCCATGCTGCCAACAGAAACAAAAAAAAAAAAAAAAAAAAAAAAAAAAAGACATGACATGACCAAACATGAATATAACATACCAGCTGACATCAGTGATAATTTGTTAAAAACATGTTCTCAACTTTCAAATGACAAACATTAATAAAATCACAATTCAGTTGGGACACTAAATTCATTTAATCACAACACTGTATATCAAAACATGGCCATGTGTACTGCACACTAGCGTTTTAATAAGTGCTCAGTGGTATGAGGTTATGGGGTTGATTATCATATTAACCGAGAAAAGGCCTCTGCACTCCGTCTCTGCTGACTTGACCTGCATGTTCATTGCCAGCGTGAAGAGGGTCACCGAGATGGTGCACCCTACTTCCATTTTAATATGTAATTTATTCATGTGATGGTAAAGCTGAATTTTCAACAGCCATTATTCCAGTCTTCAGATCCTTCAGAAATCATTCTAATATGCTGATCTGGTACTGTTACTGTATTTTTGATGGTCTGGTGAGCATGAGACTTCTCAAAAACATTCAAACATATCTTAATTTCAAACTTTTGACATGTAGTGTATTGAAACAGTTATGAAATTGCTTTATACAACAGTTAAACACATGTAGTTAATATTGAGTAACTCTGTGAATGATACTTGTGGCCACCTACTGTAACAATGTAAATTAAAGGGTCACTGATAGATCGCTACCAGTATTCAATTATTTATTGACTGATTGATTGATTTGTGTATTATTGTGAATATAGTCACATAACAAAGGTGTACATAGGAGTTACAATATTATTACAGTAAGTTACATTATTTTTTTAAACTTCCTATAGTGCAATGGGACACTTTGTTTAAATAAATAGATACATAAGGTATGTATTGGCAAAAAGATGATTATGATGATGAAAAGAAAATATTTAAAACATCTAATGTTATGTACTGCAAAGAAGTTCTACAAAGATACCTGCCATATTTTGTTTCTAAAAGAAGAAAGGGTTGCAACATTAGATTTTTGCTCTGTTTTTACTTTATTTTTCTTTTGTATGCAAAGTGAATCTTGACAATACAACACCATGAATTCGTATTCACTCACCAAAAGTCACCTGGAAATTATGTTTAATGTGACTGAGAAGGCTTGGTCACATCTTTATTCACTGAGAACTAGAGATGAAACATCAATTACACTCTGTAAAGACATTATATCCAAAGGGTTACATTTCCCCAGTCCTCATACTGTTAAATATTGCACAGTGCAAGTGCTACATGACAGACTAGTGTAGCATCAAATCATAAAAGAAGAAAAAAATTAAAAATTCAAAAAAGCCACAAAAGTCTACAAATATCAAACCAGTGAATAACAGTTTAATTTAATAAACTCTTAATTAACCAAGTAATTGAAACATGGATCCACAACTTGCAGTGTGAAATAACTTCTTTGACAGATTGTAAAATATGCTAGAAACTATGGAACTTGTATACACAGATAAAAAAAAAAAAAAAACATATTGGGAAGTCATTTTCAGGTTGAATGGTAAATAATTTAGGTAAAATAATTCAGAAAAATTTTGCCAATACATTACTTCCATAATAATAATATAATGCATAAAAACATTGAATGTCATTAAAACTGTGGCAATAATGTTTATTGAATGCTGTTAATAGAAAAGAGTTCAACATAAATCATCCATATCCTTTTGAATTTGTTTAAATATGAACATACAATAGATATCGAAAGTGTTGAATACAGTTTTTTCTATATTGTCATTGGATGTATTCAGGCTAAATGCTGGTGGATGCCATTTCACAGGGATCGAAACATGCACAGGGTGCAATACATTACATTCTTTATGCAGACTGAAATTAGAATATCCAAAAAAAAATTATAATCAAAATATAATTAGCTGGTTAAGATTAACTAGACATATATTAGTGATTAATAACTCAAATTAAGAACATCTATGATTTTTTTTAAACATGTATATAACCATTTCGATCCCTGGAATGGAAAGTTATACTGTTTGTTCTTTCTTATATTTGGTCTGGTCAGTGGGTGAGCTGAATACTTGTTAAGTGAATGTGTCATGACCAATATCATAATCAAGGCACACACAGTGTTGCTTACACTGCTCACAAAGAGAGAGAGAGAGAGAGAGAGAGAGAAAAAAACATGACCATGACCAAACATGAACATAACACATCAGCTGACATCAGTGATAATTTGTTACAAACATGTTCTCAATTTTCAAATGACAAACATTAATAAAATCACAATTCATTTGGAGACTAATTTATTTGAATCACACCACTGTATATCAAAGCATGGCCATGTGGTTACTGCACACTATAGTTTTAGTAAGTGCTCAGTGGCATGAGGTTATGGGATTGATTATCATATTAACCAAGAAAGAAAAAACCTTAACAAAAATACAGATGTTTGTATTTCTGAAACACTGCAGAATAACTGTTCATTTGGATAAAGTTAAATCAATCCTGCAAGCTATTACAAGTCAAAAACAGATAAGCAGGTAAACATTAATACACAGATAAGCAGGTAAACAAAAATTAAGTTACACAAACACATCCATTAATATGCAGTGATGAGCCAGAACAGCTATGAAGATACAATACTGATTTGAAAAAAAGAAAAACAATTCTAAATGTCCAATATCAGCAATACAGTAGTTACAATGACACTCCAAACATTGAAGCAAAAAATTTACTCAAAATCAAAATCCACTTCTAGTTTAGGCAATCAGAGAGACCCATACAAATAAACAAATGCAGATATGAACTAGTCTAATCTAATTTCACAGCTATCTGAAGTGGCAATCAATATATAGCAGCTTGTCTATGATACATTCAAGATAGATGATACGACTTATTACTTGTTCAAAAAGCTAAACATAACCTCAGCCATTTTTTAAATACCGTTTTAGAAATTTACCCCATGACTATAATTACTACAGTATATGTGAGGTCTATGCAGAAAGAGTAGCTACCTTGCTCAGAGAAATGGCTCTGTTCCAAAACCTAACGAGCTGCTTTGCGGTCTACTGCCTTCATACACAGCCGATATAGTAAGTTTTACATATGCAGTAACTCTCTAAGTCATACAAATGACTTGTGAATAGGCTAGGCCCGCAGTTGATTTCAATAGTGTAATGTTAGCATGTTGCTAATCTAACATTCGTAAGCTAGGGTGACCATACGTGCCATTTTCCCAGGATGCGTCCTGGCCAGGATTTGTTTTGGCTTTGTTTTCCTGTTTTCATGCTTGCTGAAGGTAATGATCGAAAAGTAGTTTGACCAATAACATGCAAGCATTGTACATAATGGACCAATCATGGCGTGTGAGAAGGTGGGATCTACGGTCAAAGCGATGCAATTACGCGTACATAGGATGTGTGTTCGACTTAAAACCGATCAGTGTTTGACATCAAAGTACCTCGAGAGCGTTTCGAAAGCATAACTGTCTGTATGGTACTTTGATGGCACACGCAAACAAAGCCAAAACCTAGATATTTTAGGCAATATAGAAATCCTGGCCAGGACGCGTCCTGGGAAAATGGCACATATGGTCACCCTATCGTAAACATAATTCCTATCACAGAAATACTGGGTAAAATAGTCAATTTTTAATCAAACTGAACTATTTTAATGGACTTTATTTAATTTGTCTTACTAATGAATCCACAGTTTCTAGCAAAAATGTGCCGTTTTATAATAGAAGCCACCAACAATTTTGTGACAGCCCTGTTGAAAAAAACCAGCATATGCTGGTTAGGTATGTTTTGAAGCTGGGATGCTGGTTTAAGCTGGTCCT